TTGTTTTGATTTGCATCTCTCTAATGGCTAATGATTGTGAACATTTCTTCATGTGTCTGTTGGCTGCCTGAATATTCTCTTTGGTGAAGTGTATATTCATGTCTTCTGCCCATTTTTAATTGGATTATTTGTCTTTTTGTTGTTGAGGTGTTGAATTTTTCTACAAATTTTAGAGATAAGTCCCTTGTCAGATATGTCATTGCCAAATATTTTTCCCAGTCTTTAGGTTCTCTTTTGATTCTTTTGGAAAAGTCTTTGGAAGCACATAAAAATTTAATTATTATGGATATACAGGTGGATAATTGGGTGGACAGGCTGACCTATTAGGTATGTCTATGTAGGGGGGAGTACACCCAAAACTATATGTAGGGTTGGCAGACAATGTTTCTACAAGTGTATTCGTATGTTCTGTAAGAATTCTCAGGAGTATAGCAGAGCTGACAAGGGACAAGGTTGTAGTCACTTCTTGGCCACAGCCAGCTACCAAGAGGGACTTAGTAGTTGGACCTGTGGGCTTGGGACCATAGTTGCAGGGGACATCAAGCTCAATTGGCATAACATATTACACAGAACATTGTTCTACATCCTACTTTGGTGAGTAGCAACTGGGATCTTATAAGCTTGCAAGCAGTGATCTAGATGCAATGATGGGTCTCTCTCTCCTCATCCAGAGCAAAGAAGAATGAAGAAAACCAAAGATCATGAAAACAATTAGTCCAAGCAACTGGTATACCATGTGATCCTCAGCCTATACAACTATGAGACCAGAAGAACTAGATGGTGACCAGCTGCCACTATCAACCACTCAAAGGAGGATCTATGTAGGAGATCCTGGATAGAGTGGGAGAACAATGTGGAGCAAAACTCAAAATCATTTAAATGAATGAATGAATAAATAAATAAATAAATAAATAAATGGACCAGGTTTGCTGGTCTGAAAGAACCTGATGGAACCACTGAGACTATGGCTCCTAACTGCCCTTCAGGTCTGTAAATGAACCCACTTCTGTGGCTTCCAGCAAAACAAAAGACAGACATATGAACTGAAAATTTGCATTAGGTAGATACACTCCTTGGAGAAAACAATCATGGGAGAATAGAAGGTCAGTGTATGCACAGGGAGACAGCTCAGGGGGTAGGAGTGCATGGAGGGAAGAACACAGGGAAGAGGTAACTAAACTATGGGGAGGAAGTAGGAGGGGAGGTGTTGCATTGTGGTAAATTGTAGTCAATGTCATGAGACAAAGTGTATGTGAGCTGCTGTATGGAAAGGAATTTGCTCTGTAAACTTTCACCCAAATCACAATTCTTTAAAAAAATTTAATTTTTAGAAGGTCCCATTCATCTAACTGATCTTCTGCTATTTGTGCATTTTGGGTAATGCTTAACAGTCTATTTATGCCATATATTACACAACACAATGCACTGCCATCAAGTCAGATTCGACTCATAGTGACCCATATGAGTATTTTGGGTTTCTGAGGTGGTATCAGTGCAGAAGTAGATTGCCCAACCTTCCTTCCGAGGAGTGACTGGTGGGTTTGAACCACCAGCCTTCTGGTTAGCAGTCAAATGCCTTAGGCACTAAGGCACCAGAACTCCTATGCCATTTATTAGGGGCCCTAAATTTGCCCCTAGTTTTTCCTTGAGGAACTTTATAGTTTTAGGTTTCACATTTAAGTCTTCAATACATCTGGAGTTAATTTTTGTGTATGGTATGAGGTACAGATCTTGTTTCATTTTTCTGCAAATGGATATCCAGTTTTCCCAGCACCATTTGTTAAATAATCTCTTCCCTATTTAATGGATTTTAGCCCTTTGTCAAAACTCAGCTGACCATAGGTCGATGGATCCATTTCTGGATTCTCAATTCTATTCCATTGGTCTATGTGTCTGTC